TTCTATCATACAGTGCTTTTATTGATTTATTCTTGTTCCCTTACCTGTTTTGACTGCAATCCTTTGTTTGTCTCTTCACAATTTTATTTTCTCATTTGTGTAGAGCATATTTACTTTGATGCCTAGTTAGGCCAGTGTCTTAAATAAATACGAAAATAAACAATTTATTTATAGTTTACATCGCCACAACTTACATTCATTAGATCAACGGCCAGAGATTCATGACCTTCACGAAGTAAATGTTCGATGATAACCAACCGCAATAGATCATCTGGAGTCTTAGTTGAAAGAGATTCTCTGTACAACGATGACGTTTTCAAAACAGGTTTAATTATAGATTTGGGTGTTCTGGATTCTTTCTTTCCATGATTCGTAAAGTATGTAGTAAGATGAGAAAGTTCGTCGACAAAACTCTGGAAAAATATAACACTTGAAGATTCTAAAAATCGATTACCTTGTCTACAAGTTTCCCAAACTTGGAAATAGGCAGGTGGATGTCACGGTGGGTTTTTACGTAATCCGACAATTTTGACTTCGCGGTTGATACAAATGGGCCAGTATGTTGCTTAATATCCGTACAATCATCAGCTATACATAAGAGGGAACAATAGTTATTACTTAGTCTAAATATACCATTATAGAATGGATTTTAATACATGTAGAGTTCCAAAAGGTTATGACAATTCATTATTACATCTAAGTAAAACGATAATAACTGATGTTACTTAATTAAGAAGTGTTTAAATGCTAAGTTCTGAACCACCGCAAGTAAAATAAACGCTGACTTTGAGAGTGACGGTAAAACCACCGGAGTTACACCATCCAGTTTACCAAACAAAACACGACTAAAAGCAGATGTCAGAGTTACAAATCTTTCCTGTCATATAAATATCACTCTATATTATTTGTCTTGTATGTTTCGGTCCCACTTTCGTTCTTTAAAATTTTCGATATTATACTTAACTCATTCATACGCCTACAAAATGAACACCTAGTAGGACGGGCGATCCTAGAAATGTGTTAGAAGTCACTATATTTCCTACACAAAATTTTTCTTGTGTAGCCACTTAGATCAACGCATTACACTCGCAGGACTTTGTATACTACCTACTACATAATGCAAAGAGAATATGTGACTATTAGTTCAATGACTATTTCCTGTTAACGAACTTTTGTTGGGTACTGTATAAATTATACTGAAAGTTGAGGAGAGTAGAACTAAACATTTACATGAAGGATTGATAACTAGGTAATAAAGAGACTGAGGTAATTTTTCACTGTTGTAATGACGGTATTTTCGCTTTAATATACATTCCAACATTGTCTAATACTGTTCAGATCAAACATTTCACTAAGTTTGGCGAGTGACATCTTGTCTAAGCAGGATTAAGTTGAAAGTCAGGGCGATGTAACAACAACTAGAGACAAACAATACACAATATTTCTTAACATAAAATAGCTCAATATATTACGCAAACATCCCGGAACATAACTTACCATTTTGAAGTACATACTGGAGAGAATCCAGTTGTGACTCCAATAAACTAAACGTTCTCTTCCTGCAGTCATCAAAGCTTGCTAACTTTTCTTCTATCCTTGATAGTTCAGCATCAATACTTTCCAATTTTGAGGAACAATTATCACTTTTACTGGCCATCAAGGAGCGTTACTTTCATCTTATGCGCTTTCTACATCCAATTTCCAATATCCAATATTTTTCACAATCTCTTACAGCCCTATTTATTTCCCTTTGTTCAATTCTTTTTCTGTCGTAACAGTTTCAGGTACCCGTTACTGTCCATAGGGTGGTGGTTTAGCCGATCGACTGCACTAATTCTTGTAACATGTTAGTTGTTCGCGAATTTGTATGTCCCGTGATTTGATTGAGTACTTTGGTTAATGACTGTAGGGTTTCTGGATACCAGCATCTATCACGTTATCGGGCCAAAGATCAGTTGGTTGCGATGTGGCGAAAAACAAGGAATAAAGTTAATGTTCATAAGATTTCAGAACTAAATAAATAAATGAATAATTTGGTTTATTAATAGGTAGTGAAGATTGTGCGAGAGTACCGAGGTGTAAACAAGGGATGGAAAACAGAGAGATAGGTTTTACAAGTCATCTGGTTGTATGGAAATAATAACAGCCAGCAAGTCTTAAGAACTCCGCCAGTAGAAACTTAGGGGCTACTGCCGGTCCCAAACCCGGATAAAGGAAGAGGGTTGAACATGGGGTTGGCGACCCCATTCCGACGAAATCTCACTTGCCAAAAAACGCTAAGCAGAAATCATAATTCAAACCATTTTAACTATGCCCTGGAAGTTGGAGGAAGAATCATGACGTCGCGTGATGAAAGCCGAGTTCCCCCAGAAGTAACGGGGCCGATGCCTATTCTGACAACCGGAGCAACCATTATTTTAGGTACATGGAACGTTCGGACATTGTGGTAGACTAGAAGACTATTTCAATTTGCTGCATAAATGAAAAGAAACAACCTGGAAGTGCTTGGAATCAGTGAAATGCATTGGATGCAGGTAGGACGACAGAGACTAGCTTCAGGGGAACTGCTGTTATATTCTGGTCATGAAGAGGAAAATGCTTAACATAAACAAGTAGTTACACTAATGCTGTCCAAACAAGCACAAAATACACTGAGAGGATGGGAATATCATGAACCCAGGATAATGAAAGGATCGTTCAAAACAAAGAAACACGACATTACAGTAAACATAACCAAATGCAATGCACCTACCAATGACTACAATGACGACGTTAAAGATCAATTCTACGAAAGGCGTCAGTCGATCGTCGAGAAATGTTCACCAAAGGATTTGACGATTCTGATGGGAGACCTAAATGCCAAGGTTGGCATGGACAATACTGGATATGAAGACATCATTAGAAGACACGGACTAGGAGAAAGGAATGAAAACGGTGAGAGATTCGCAAACCTATACGCCTTCAACAAACTGGTCATCGGCCGCACAATGTTCCCTCACAAAAGCATACACAAAGCTACATGGATTTCACCGGATCACACTACTCAGAACCAAATCGACCATATTTGTAACAATGAAAAGTTCAGAACGACCATGGAGGACGTGTGAACCAGCAGAGCTGCTGATATAGCCTCAGATCACCACTTGCTGGTCGCTAAAATAAAACTGAAACCCAAGAAACACTGGATAACGGGGCAGACAACATCACAGAAGTTTAACACGACCTTTCTCCGAGATACCGTAAAACTCAATCAATTGAAGGTAGCCCTCACCAATAGGTTCCAGGCCTTCCAGGATCTACTCAATGGAGAGGACGCCACATTCGAGAACAATTGGAAAGGGATTAAGGAGGCAATCACTGCAACATGTCGGGAGGTCCTTGGTCGCAAGAAGCAGCATCACAAGGAATGGATCTCTGTTGGTACTCATGAAAAAATTAAAGAAAGGAGGAACAATAGGGCAGCAATCAATGTCAGTCGAACAAGAGCAGAGAAAGTTGAGTCACAAGCTGAATACACAGAAGCAAACAGTGAAGTGAAGAAGAGCATCAGAGCTGACAAACGAAAATATATGGAATAAAAGTCTGCAAGAGACGGAAACTTGAGAAAATTGTACGAAACAATAAAGAAGCTCGCTGGGAACTATCGTAATTCTGTGCGACCAGTGAAAAGCAAAGAAGGCAAAGTAATCAGCAACATTGAAGAACAGAGAAACAGAGGGGTAGAGCACTTTAAGGAACTCTTGAATCGACCAGTCCCACTGAACCCACTCAACATCGAAGCAGAACTCACGGACATCCCAGTCGATGTTAGCCCACCCACAATCGAAGAGATCAGCAAGGCCATCAGACAAATCGAGAGCGGTAAAGCAGTGGGACCAGACAACATTCCAGTAGAGGCAATGAAAGCAGACGTGGCAGCAACTATAAAAATATTTCACATCCTATTCAGCAAGATTTGGGATGAAGATCAAGTACCAACAGACTGCAAACCAGGACACCTAATCAAGATACCAAAGAAAGGCGATCTCAGCAAGTGTGAGAACTACAGAAGCATCACTCTTCTCTCAATACCAGGCAAACTCTTCAACAGTGTATTGTTAAACAGAATGAAGGACTTCGTAGACACCCAACTTCCAGATCAACAGGTTGGATTTCGTAAGGATAGATCGTGTACTGACCAAATCGCAACATTACGGATCATTGTGGAGCAATCAACAGAATGGAACTCACCACTCTACATCAACTTCATCGACTACGAGAAAGCATTCGATAGCATGGATAGGAAAATACTATGGAGGCTTCTTCGATACTACGGTGTGCCTGAGATAATAGTCAACATTATACGGAATTCTTCTGATGGATTCAACTGGAGAATCGTGCACGAAAGACAGCTGAAAGACTCGTTCGCGGTGAAGACCGGTACCAGGTAAGGTTGCTTACTCACTCTTTATCTTTATCCTCGTGAATGACGGGATTATGAAGACGTCATCATCTACAGGAAAGTACGAGGTACAATGGACAACCAGTATGCAGCTGGACGATCTGGACTTCGCAGCTGACCTGGCTCTTCTATCGCACACGCAGCAACAAATGCAAGAGAAGACGACCAGTGTAGCAGCAGTCTCTGCAGCAGTAGGTCTCAACATACACAAAGAGGAAGGCAAGATTCTCCGATACAACACTATATACACCAACCAAATTGCACTTGATGGAGATTCTTTGGAGAAACCTTTACATATCTAGGCAGCATCCTTGTCGTACAATGTATATCCAACGCAGATTTTAAGGCGAGGATTGGCAACGCAAGCGCTGCATTTCTACAGTTGAAAAATAACTGGGACTCCAAACAACTTTCAACGAAAACCAAAATCAGGATTTTAAATACAAATGTCAAGACAGTTCTACTGTATGGAGCGGAAACCTGGAGAACTACCAAAGCCATCATCCAGAAGATACAAGTGTTTATTAACAGTTGTCTACGCAAAATACTTCGGATTCGTTGGCCAGACACCATCAGCAACAACGAACTGTGGGAGAGAACAAACCAGATTCCAGTGGAGGAGGAAATCAGGAAGAAGCGGTGGAAGTGGATAGGACACACACTATGAAAAGCACCTAACTGCGTCACAAGACAAGCCCTCACATGGAACCCTCAAGGCAAAAGAAAAAGAGGAAGACCAAGGAACACATTACGCCGAGAAATAGAGAAAGATATGAGAGGAATGAACAAAGGTTGGACAGAACTGGAGCTGGAAGCCCAGGACAGCGTTGGTTGGAGAAAACTGGTCGGCCGCCTATGCTCCATTTGGTGGACCAGGCGTAAGTAAGTAAGTATGTCTTAGGGCATGCATCACGCACACCCGTGCCATGTACGAAATGATAATCCGTATGTGAGTACGTGTTTGTCAAGTCTCGAGGCTATGGTCACCTCGGATGGGAATCGCTCGAACTTGCAACAACTCTTAGTGAGGAAACGTGTACACAAACACAAATGTTAGCTAACTGATGTGCGATTTTTCTTGGATTGCTTCTAGGGTTGTGCTAGTAAGCTTACTGTAAGATGCTAATGCTGGGTTGCTTTTGCGTGCCTAATATGTTGTGCGTCATCACCAGATCACCTCCGACTATCTATCTTCATATGGTTTGTTTTTCAACCATACCACCCATTTCTGAACTGGATCCAAGAGATGTATGTTTCTTTTAAGGAATCGAAATAAGAGAACGTTGTGGACCTCAATAAGTGGGTGCACCTACGTCCTAAACAACGTAAAGGGTAATTTAGGGGTGATAGCACCATGTTGTTTTCGTATAACGTGAACAGTTGCATTAGCCCTGGATGCGTCCCCTACATAGTTTGAACTGGTGTCTAGGTTTTCTGTGGTAATGAGACCGAGAATTCTCTCTGAAGAGGCATTAAATAGCGGACTGCTACTGCACGCATGTCATTTTTATCACGTTGGATATAATGTTCGTAATGTGACATTTCTACTGGTCAAGTATTTTATTTTATCGTTTTCCACTGCCCGTTCCTAAATATATTTAAGGTCCTTTTGAATCACAGTTAAACTCTTTTTTCATCTAATGAACGTCCAAAACTTTACATCATCTGCGCACATCAATGCCACCGAGCTTATTCTGTCTTACAGATCATTAATGAATACTAAGAAGAGAAGTGAACCTAGGATTGTCCCCAATGAAACTTCCAATGTTGAGACTTGTTAACTTAATAATAATAATAATAATAATAATAATTTATTCTCAAATAACAAACATGTTACAAGAGACATGCCAATTTACAGGCAAGATCAAAATGTTAAGATTAACAACATATTTCTTTTAAAACGGTATACATTTACTGAAACATTTCACAAGATTCATTGTGTTATTAAAGATGGAATGTTCAATACGAATAATTGGCGCAAGTTACGAAGGTTGCGTTACGACAATCATCTTACGGACTGAGAAACGATTCATGGTAGAGATAGGTTTGCATATAACAAGAATTGATGCGGTAAATGAACAAAGGTATGGTTGATATTCATCAGCTAATGATTTTACATGTTCTTGGGTAGGGTAACCAAGTCTACTGCAAATATCCAGACTGTAGAATTTATTTCGCCGGCGGCTGTCCTAATCGCGTCCAATAGAAACACACCGGTACGATTCTCCTAGATCCCCGTCCCAGCCAAATCAGAAAGCCGAAAATTCTAGGAGAAAACCGTCTCTATTGTTATAAAAAATGGAAATAC